TTGTTGGTTATGGCAAGGTGTAAATTTTTTATTTTTTCTTGAATTGATACTACTTTGTTGCATACAAAACGCAGTAAAATTTCTATTTTGGAAGGATAATACTAATACATTTAACTGTAACTTTATGTGATTTACGGATGTTAGTTTTTTCTTTTTTCTTGCATGGCATCGTGTCAAATAAGTGACTGGGAATTGTTCGTGTGTATCGTCATGTACCGGTAAGTTCTGTCAATTTTTTTTAAGTAAATGTACTGTACTGGAAGCGTTATTAAATAAAAAATATTACCAACAAAAAATTTCGTAAAAGCATTCAGTAATTCAAGGCATATTTTCAACAAAAATATCATACAAACTAAAACAATTCCATGAATCAGTTGCGGTCGTCGTGTGCTCGAATTATTTACGACTCACTTTCCTCGAAAACGATTGATTTTCGGACATAAGTTATGAACTTTTTCTTAGAATAATGCCAGGAATCACCTCTTAAAGTTACGAATATTATTTTCCTAACACCCTGTATATTAATATATGGTGCAACACATTTGATAAATACAACATATTATTCTTTGAGGCTCACTGCATCGATCTCCTCATTATTTATTGATGATACCATCGATGTATTTTTTTAGTATGCTTAGAAGCTGGAATCTCCATTATTGATAGCAATTTAAAACCACAATTTATACGTAAAAGTTTAAATACACATCAAATTCCATACCTCAGAGCCAGGTTAGATTAATTTCATTTTTGAATAAAATGTTAAGTTCAAGATAATGATGTGCATTTTCATTTGCCACTTGCAGCGTCCACCTACATGTAATGATGAGTGAATTATGACTTAATAAATTATGTTAAGTCGCATACGGTAGGTACAACAGAAGACAAACATCTGAAACGCAATTATCTAGTCATCTTACTTATTAGGACTTGACCCAGTCTGACTTTGCGGTACCATTTTGAAAATAATGGATCTTTGCTTATCTAGTCCTTTGAAGTGTTTGGAATTTGTTTAACAGGAAAGTGATTCCCTTGATGAGTCACATTTTTCTGATTTTGCTCCATGCTGCAACTCTATTTTTCGACTTACTCTTTGTGATACTTCATATTTGGTAATCCTACATGACCATGGTATTTTGAGCATCCACATTATACAAACTTCTAGACTGAGATTCTACACAATCCAGAGTCCAACAATGATTTGTGAACAGACATCTCTGACATCAATAATGCAAATAAACTTTGGATACAATGTTTATCATCCATAAAGTCTGTGAGAATGAATAACATCTGAAACAAATGTTTAAGGAAATAAATATGAATAATTATGCAATGATTAATTTTGTAGCTTTCCTACCTTCACCAAGGAACAGGTTGGTCGTAAGCCTTTTGGGCTTCTATATATACAAATATATATCCATTTGCATTAAATTGTTCTTCGGTAATACTTCATCAAAAAAAGCCAATCCAACATTTGTCTCTGACATATACCAAAGGTGTCTTCTGGCAACTGCGACAGCACTTTTCTACGTCTATATTATTACAATATTTAAGTCAGAAAGTGATCTATGTGAAATTTGAGTTCTGAAATTAGTAGGCTATGTTGTACTTATTGCGACAATTAGACCTGCGTTGCTAAGGAAACTTTCAAAGTAATCAAATAGCTGTCAATTTAATTTTGTGATTTGATTTAAAAATTGTGAACTTAGTGGTTGTTTAGAAGTTACTTTTAATACTATAAAGTAAAAAATGTCTGATTCCGAGCTTCCTTTGACTCCACCGGAATTAGTAGAAGTAGCCAAAGTAGCGTCCCAAAAATTATTGCCAGCTGAATCGTTTATACAATATCCGGGAAAAAGTACTCATTTTTTTTTCGGGGAAAAAAGTTTCATAAAAAGTGAAATGTCAAACTTTTTTTCCGTCACAGAAAAAAGTAATTGAAATCAAAGAGCGCATACAGGCGTCCTACAACTACAGGAACGACTGACGATACGGCCCTTACTGACCCTATCGAATGCTTTCCGAGTCATGCACAACATATACCTCTCTCACATCGAAATCGGTGATCAAATAGCACTGCACCTGTAAACATGCCCATTGTGTTACAAACAGGTGCGATCTTCATATTCGATCATATTATTCCATCTCATCATTTTGTTCTATATAGTATCCTACGACCCTGCACCCTACAAACAATGCTACCGAAATATGAGGTGCAGTAGTTTGGGCAAATATCAGCAAAAAGGATATTGAGGATGACTGAGCAGCATAGAACCCGCACGGGTATTATGTAAAAATCCTATAAAACGTCAAAAACAACCTATAAGGTGTCATCTTGCAGACTAGGTAGTTTTTTTATCTCTGAGAAGAAAGTTGGTTGAATAGCAAGATCGCATCTGGATGATTTTATGTGTATTGGTCTGCGTGTGTATAAAATCAGTGATATTTGCTGTGTGAAAAAATCGTTACTGAATATGCTGCCAATGAAGTGTATCTATTAGCTGTGCCCGACGAGTTATTCATTTGTTGTCCTTTCTGAAGACAGGTTATGTTCAAAGTTATAAATTACAAAAACTTTGAGGAGTAATTTTGGGAAATCCTCACCGGGCCCGCGTTGTGTGTAAGTACTATTAGCTTGTATATGGTTTGTAATTCGACAGTGTACAGTGAATATAATTATTTCTAATCTCTCTCATATTTGAAATTCAGCAAATTTGCATATGTAATTTCCCGAATGGATAAGAAAAAGTGTTTTTTTAGCTTTGGATATCAATTAAGTGTATTTGAGACAAGAATCCAATGGAATTATCATCAACACATATAGCTTACAGCTTAGACATCCAATAATGCCATTCGCGTTCATTAAAACGAGCTAGTTCTAGGAACTAGTTCGCGGACGAACTAATACGAATAATGTCAATGAAAGAGTCGCATCAATCTTTCATCCGATCACCGGAGCTAAGCAGCGTCGAGCGAGATTAATCTTTGGATGGATAGCCGGTTCGGCTTATTGTTGATTGATTTTTCTGGTTTACATAGTAGCTATGAGATTTACATGTTTTCTAACAATCTAAAATAATGTGGAATACACTTTTGTTTCAACCAGACCAGCAGGCTTATGATACATAATGCATTCTACCTTTGATTAAGGTTACCAGATGTCCTCCTTCAGGGAAAACGGAAAATGAACTGAAGAAGAAAAAAACAGTCTCGGACCTTTTGGACGCAGTTAAAAATCCAATCGTAGCAGGGATTATCGAACTATATAAATATTTTGATGAACCCCTGAAAGGTACCAAAATCCATCTCAGATTATTTGAGATGGTTAAAAACGATTGTGTCTGCCAACTGTGCCATGCGAGTGACTTTTCTTTGAAGGCTGAGCAAGCAGTTTTGTGAGTAGAAATAGACCAGAAATAAAAAAAAATATGTTTTCAAACAGAAATTTGTAATCAATTTACATTAACATTTTAGTATTGGTCTAATTTCATTAGCCCTAACGGGTGATATGCTGTATAACAGCTCGCTAATTTTTATTTCTGAAGGGTTTTTCAATAAGGGCGGATGGATGTTGAAAACGAAAAAAAAAACCTGTGAGTGAAGTATTAACAAAAATCTTTTTTTATTTGAAAGGCTCATGTATGCCATCAAGTATATCACATCGTTCAAATGTCCGCCTCGGCTTCTTACGATAGCACGGATTTGAGTGGTTCAATTTTCAATTACTCTTCCGCATAGATCCGGCTGAATTTGAGCGATCGCCAGTGCTATGTTCACTTTAAGGGCATCAGTCGTTGGCGGTTTATTGTCATAGACCTACGATTTTAAGAAACCCCACAAAAAAAATCTAGCGGGGTCAAATCACATCACCTCTGCGAGAGATAACCTTATCCTCAAAGCGAACATGCAGAATTTCAATCGTGGCGTCCACTGTGTAACACGTACCGCTGTCCTGCTGGAACCAATATTGTCTAGGACCTATGGTTCAATTTGGGCTATAAGAAATTTGTTATCATCCTTGTGTAGCACTCACCGTGGACGGTGACTGCCTCACCAATGTAATTTTCGAAAAAGTATGGATCAATGACGTCACGGGCCCAAAATCTACACCAAACGGTAACTGTATGCGAATGCATTGCCACCTGATTTACCTCGTGTGGTTTGGTGTCGTCCCGAAAATGATTTTGCGGCCAAAATTGGGGTCCTCTTCCAAACGCCTCGGAGCCCAATCAGCGAACAAATGGTGTTGTCTGTGGTCATGAGCTTTTAGCTCTTGGATCAGCTGGATCTTGTACGGATGAAGGTCTAAATCCTGACGCAGAATTCGACAAGTTGAACTCTGTGATAGGCCAAATTCTAGCACACGGCGCGCAATCGACTGCCTCGGATTCTGCTGTACACCTTCACTGACCGATCTTGCGTTCCTTTGACGTACTGGTGTCAGCTGATTGTTTACTGATCCGGTCGTCTGAAATTTGGTCACCAAACGTTGAAGAGTTGACTGTGAAGGACCACCACGTCTACCATAAAATGGGCGCAATGCACACAACGTTTGCACTAATGAACACTCATTTTGATGTTACAGTTTTATCATTTGGACGTGCTGTGGTGATTTGGCATTAGTAACTGAATAATATAAAACAGATTTGAAGGATGTCACCAAAACAACATGGCCGCTACAGGCCGCTAACATATACCCACTCCAATTGAAAAACCCTGTATCAGCCTTTATAATTACAGCATTTTTCATCTTTATCATAACTCCCAGGCAACAGGCAACCTTCTGTTTACCGTTGTGTTCCGCCTCGTTTCTGTTATCTCGTTCGTTCGCTCACAACCAGTTCGCTTGGATCATCGGACATAGGGATCCTGTAATACCAGTTGTTCGCAGTGAACGAGTTTTCCAAGAAATGATGAACTAGTTCACTTAGTTCAATCATATGAATAGGTCCACAGAACTAGTTCGTTCGCAAACTACACATTTATATCACCTACCTTTCAACTTCGACCTTGGGCTCAGCCTTGATGGCCGCTTCCAACACTGAGGGTAACCTAGGCCTTGGCTGAGGCTCTTCTTCAGCGATTGTGGGAGGTTGGGGGCTGGCCCCTCGTGACTCCGCCGCTGGCGAACACGTGACCGTCTGCGTGTGCCCTACTGGCGGCAAACTGTCAGCGGCGACCAACTGGAGCCCAGCTGGGATCACGGCCTCCGTCTCATCCAGCTCAAAGATCTGCGTTTGCTGTATCTGTTGCTGTTGGTGCTGGAAGAGTTGTTGTTCCAATTGGCGGACCTGTAGTGCAAAAAGCAGGGTTAATAAAGTCTTTACTTTCTTGGACTAAAGTAAGCAAAGTGTGTTTTAAAAGAGTCATTAAAACTCTCAAAAGGCAAAATATTCCCAATCATTGATGTGTTTAGGAAATGGACTGATTTAAATAAACACTGGGTGAATAAAAAAATAGTAGAGCAGAAAGCACATTAAACATTTGCAGCTTATACATTTTTTTGTACAAAACGTTCACAACAAGTGTACAACAGCTTGTGCTAAGTTAACATCCTGTATAAAACCCTACGAAATGTCAAAAAAGACTGACGAAATGTTACTTTTCAAGATACGTAATATCCGTGCCGGTATTATGTAAAAAACCAAAAAACCTGAATAATGCCATGTTGCAGACTACGTAGTTTTTAGGGTTCATTCCACGTTTGCTCGCTATGATCGCTGTGAGCGTCCATCTATGGAGGAATTACTCAACTTCACGGATTGTTGGTTGTAGAAAGTTTTGTGAAGCGGATTAGTCTGTAGTGTTTATCTCTGAGAAAATGTGAAAGAAAGAAAGTTGGTTGATTAGTAAGATTGCATCTGGATGATTATGATTAAAGGTCTGCATGTGTATATGTGACATTAGCTAAGTGAGAAAATTATAACTGAATATGCCGCCAATATAGTATATCTATTAGCTGTGCCCGACGGGTTATTTATTATATGTTGTCCTCTCTGAAGCAGGTTATGTTCAAAGTTATAAATTACGATTTGTCAAGTTTCTTGTTTTCAAAAACTTTGAGGAGCATTCGGGAAATCGCCATCGCGTCCGCGTTGTGTGCAACTAAGCCACATTACAGAAAAATTAGGAATGACGCACCACACATCAAACATTTTCGCAGTGCCTCACATCTAGGCGCTGATTTGTATTTTCTATTCGCATCACAAAATAAATTTCTATAAAATTTAAATGACTGGAAATGATAAATAATTTAATAACCTTTTCGCTTTCATAAATATTCCTGTCTGTAGCATATTTTCTCACTTGTTCCTTCACCAACCAGGGATTTACTTTCCTTATTTCTCTCATTTTTGAAATTCAGCAAATTATTTTCTAGCTTTGATTCTCACGTAAGTGTATTGGAAACAAGAAACCAATGGAATTATCATCAACACATATTATTAGCACACAAATCCTTACTATGTACCTATGCACTGCCATTTCCTTCCAGCTATAGTATACAACTTACAGCTTAGACCTCCAATAATGCCATATCTGAAGCAGATTTTACATCACTTCAGAGCCAAACATTGATAACTGAAGCATCATGCGGTTAGGCAACACGTACAACTACAAAACGAGTTCACAACAAGTGACAATCGGCTAGTCCTAAGTTAACACCTTGTAGAAAAGCCTACGTTATGTCAAAAAAACCTACGTTATATAAAAAAATCAACCTAATGAAATTTTTCTAGATATGTAATACCCGTGCCGATCTGAATTTCACATACGGATTTCACCTTAAAAAATCTAGTTTCTGACAGAAATATTTCCACCATCCTGAGGATCACTATGAATATTTTCCTATTTGCACACAGCTACTCACCTGACTTTCCAAGATTAACCTCAACGCCCTCTCTCTCTCCAACTGCCTCTTCAACTCCACTGCTGTTTCGCCCTTCGCCGCCCCCGTCGTAGCTCCGCCCACCGGAACGGTTATTAGCTCCGCCCCCTCTTCGGCCGCTGCAATCACCAGCTCCGCCTTGCGTTTCTTGGGCGGCAGTTCTCCGCCCTCATGCTGGTTCACCAGCCGCTTCAGTTGGCAGTTCTGCGATAGCAGGCGGGTCTTTTCCTGTTCCAGGCTATAGATGTACTCCGCGGTCTGCTGCAGTATGGCGGCCTATAATGCAAAAGGAAGTTGTAGTTGTAGAAACAACAGTTAGCTTGGCAACATATATGTATTGGCATTTTAGATTAATTCGATATTGCCAAAAACATCTGACACCTTATGTTAGGAAAACTAAGAATTATCAAGCCTTTTGATATTTGTACTTTTCGTCACCGTCATTTCTGGGATTCAGCTAGATATTCTATTACACCATGGATATTCCAAAAATTTGCTGATGTATACGAAATGGAAACACCAAGTTGAGTGAAGTAACTGCATGAAATACGTGTATACCATTACCCGTCAAAACTGGACTGATGGACTTTTTATCAAGATCTCCAGCGCCCCACTTGCGTGCTATGTGGCTTACTTATACATCAGGGGGCTGGCTGCTGGCTAATTTTTTTCCGGTCAATTTCCAAAGAACATTAGGGATGGGTCAGAGGGTGAAAAGATATAGGTTCACAACCATTCTTGCTCGTCACCACCACCCTCCAAACTTCCATCCAAGCCCCCGTGAACAAACAAGATAATCTCGACCGCATCGGATCGGAACCATCCATCTATACGTCAAAACGCGCCAGATCCGAAAAAAAACAACTGGGCAGGACCGTAGTGAATGATTCCAACAGTATCATCGACATTCTTTTTTTAAGATACAAACATCAAACTTGACCAAACGGAAGCATTGCGATTTATTGGAAAAGAAAAAACGTCTAAAGCCTATAAAATTTTAATGTCTGTGGTTGTTAAAATTCTTTCTGTCGTTTTAGATACCAAAAATTATAAGTGTCACGAGTGATATATATTCAACTAGGGCTCACAGATGCATGCGATTTGTTACTCAACAGTGTTCAACAAAGGAGTATGCCAGCCATTGTGGAATGACAATGTCTAGCTCTATAAATCGACATGTCGTGTGACACAAATAGTATGCATGAAATGAGCGCTTAGTAGGAAATATTCTCAGAAGATGACAATGACAGGCAGACGAAAGGAAATGCCATGGTTTTTCATGAAGTACGTCACATATTTTTCGAATAGTTCGCTTGCCGTTTTAAATAACTTCGTAAAATTTCACGTATTGCTCCAACGCTTCCTAAGGCACTTCGAAAAATTCTTTGGGAATCAATGAATTAAAACTTTCAGTTTTTTAACATTTTCCAAATTATTTCATCAATCTTGCATGTGAGTTACCAAAAGTCCTAGACTGGCTAATATTCGGGCCGGAGGTTATGGGGGACTCGGAGGGATGAACGGGGGATGGCTCATTTGAAAATTAGGCCGTTCCGATGGTGGTGCCTGTGCTGTTGTTAGAATCATATTTTAATGTATCCATAAACAGGATGATTTGCAAAATATGCCCCCGCGATGGATCTGGTGCAGGAGAAAAGCCCGTAGGGTCATAAATCTCAGCCACCCTCGCTCCGCTTGACGTGACGGCCTGTCCGCGACAGTGCAGGGGATGGAGTGTCCCAGCTGATGCTTGCGGAAGGGTGACAAAACCTCGATTATCAGCACCCCACATACAAGACCGATATAACCGCCTTGCGTTCTAATGTAGCACAATCAGGTAGATAACAAACATAAAATATAGGAAATTTAGAATGCTGTTTATAGCTGAAAATCTTGAGAACCATCCCAGTTATCTTTATGACTATCAGTTCTCTGTTTCTTGATGTAAACTATGGGACCTGAAGTCATCCTAGATGTATCTTCAAAAAGTTGTCAAGAGTGCTCTACGCTCTCTTATTCTTTTTGAAGGACTAATTAAAACATTACATATAAAAATGGTGTTTTATCAAAAATAAATCAAGTGTCATAGAAGAATTTTGGACCAACTTATTCGTGTCCAGAGTTGCATATCTAGACTGCCGAATTTGCATATATGTATTAACATACCGGGTGTTTCAAATTTGCATCTCGGCATTAGGATCTGAGAAACGGAGACATACAAAGTCGGCTGAATCGGCAAAGTTGCACATTCACCTAATTCAGAAAATTGCACTTAAAGAGGCCTGGAGTACCTCCGAGACGGAAAAAACGAATTTTCCTAAAATGTTTTTATTTGAGATATGACTTCAAAACAAGTTGCGCATTAACACTCTGTTTTTCATCTACCAGACTGTATAATACGTATCTTTCTCGTTTTCCAACATGAACCATTTGTGGAATGACTGACTATAATTATTTATAAATACAGTACTTCCTAATTATGCTTGGGATTTATCAAACAGTCATTTGTTTCATATCATCAGCCAAACATTCCTTCAGTTTTTATGAGCTGGGTATTGGTAAACACTTCATATTTTTTTAACAAACTATTTTGAGTCTTTTGGGGCAAGTACACTCTTGAACGATGAATAAGCAATGCTTGGTTGATGGTTTTATGAAACAAATAACTGCCTGGAAATTTCAAGACAGACTTACTTTTTTTAAATAATCATAGCTATCTAACCACAACCACGCGACCGATTATAGCTACTTGCCGTGGTACTTCAAGTTCAAATGATCTATAAAGAGAAAAGGTGTCGCCTTGAAAATTCTGGCCATTTTATGCTACAATGTGTAGGTTGGCTTTTGTTGGTGACTTCGTGTGTCATTTTTTTGTCTCCATCTTCGTTTCCCCAGGTTACACCTGTATCCGGATGTATGGGCATGTGTATCTTCTTTTGAGTTGCATATGTGCATTCATTTCGGGCCTGATGAAGCCAACAAGCAGAAATACGTATCGCTCGGGTTACCTATCCTATTTTCTGCTCGAATCCACTTTCCTTCTTTTCGCGGATCTTGCCCATCATTTTTTCTATTTGTTATATACCTTCCTCCGCATGATCCTTTTATATATGCCTATCACGTTACAAAATCTATTATCATAGCCATAGGCATTTATCTATATATTCTAAATATACTCAGTGCCATTAGAATTGTTACACACAAAAAATAATTGCTTCAACTTGGTTTTTTGGCAATCAAGAGTGAAACGATAACATTTTCACGAAATTTTATTGACAAGTAATAAGAAAAAAATTAATAGTGTGTTGGGCGACCAGCAGCTGAACACATTCCTGTATAGGGGAAAGTGGTACAAAATGATCCCTGAAGGTAAAACGATCCCCGGCTATTTTACTGAGTTTATAGCGTCATCTAGGATGCTTTTAATAAGCTACACGCTCCTATGGTTAAGCTGTACAATCTCAGTCGGTATCGTGGCGTCACAGGCAATGGTGAAGATTTTATCACGAAATATTTAAAATCAGTGCTCTCAATCTAAGGTAAGCCATCATTTGACATTATGGTGCTTTACTCTATGTATATATTATGTGGTTGGTGTGTTTGTATCAGTTTCTGGTACTAATTAACTATAGAATTAACCATCATTCATTACAATATTCGAGAAACAAAGGTTATGTTCTGATGTTTTCGTTAATGACGCATTTGGGGCAAAACGATCCCTATACGGGGTGGGCAAAATGATTCCTAGGATCATATTACCCCGTCTACCTACTTCCAATAGATATGTTTTTTTTTATATTATCACCCAATAGTAACTAGTATGCATATAAAAAAACGACTTCAATAATGCAATAGTCATAAGTTTTCACAATATATAACCTTGTGATACTATTCAATTTATCTTTATTTTGTTGCTTAAAATATGCGGTAGCCATTAATGCCGTTTTACTTTCAGAAATCATGCCGCGAAATTACATCCGGAAAACAACACGTCAGAACTGGGATGAACAAGCTATGATTAAAGCCATAGAAGCCGTAAAACAGGGTATGCCATATAAAGCCGCCTCCAAACAATTTTTAGTCCCACTTATGGCACTTAAAAGAAGAGTTAAAGGAAAGAACGTTTACGCTGTGGGGGGCACCAAAATGTTGGGAAGTATCAAGAAAGTATTCACGGATGAACAGGAGCTGGAGCTAGTGCAACATATTAAAGACAATGAAGAGACTATGTACGGTTTTACAGTTGATGACGTTCGTAAATTTGCTTTTGAGATAGCTGAAAGAAACAAAATAAGGCATCCATTTTCTACTACGTCCCGTAAAGCTGGTAAAGACTGGCTAAGGAGGTTTCGACAAAGACATCCTGATATCACTCTACGTGCCCCGGAGTCAACGTCAGCGGCACGAGCTCGAGCATTCAATAAACCGATTATTGACAAATTTTACAAAAATTTACAAAAAGCTCAGGAAAAGCATGTATTTCCTCCTCATCGCATTTTTAACGTTGATGAGACTAGTTTGAACACCGTTCCGACCAAAAATAGTAAAAAAGGGCGCAAACAAGTAGCGAGAATCACGTCTGCCGAAAGAGGTGAATCAACTACAGCGGTTATTTGCGGATCAGCTGGAGGAAACTTCATACCACCAATGCTAATATTTCGCCGATTGCGAATGAAAATAGAATTAATGGACGGTACTCCACCAGGCTCTGTGTACGCGTGCAATCCCTCCGGCTGGATGAATATTGAGGTTTTCTCTCAGTGGTTTGACCATTTCTTGTCCCATACTAAAGCATCTACAGAAGATCCCATACTTCTAATACTGGACGGCCATCTTTCTCATACCAGAAATTTGGACGTCATAATAAAAGCCAGAGAAAATAACGTAACAATTTTGTGCTTACCCCCACACTGCACGCACAAACTTCAACCACTCGATGTTGGTGTAATGTTTCCACTGAGCGTGTATCACAACCAGGCTTTAGAAAGGTGGATGAATAATAATGCGGGTCGTGTAGTAACAGTTTTTCAAATAGGTAAAATCTTTGGAGAAGCATATTTGAAAGCTGCTGCACCCTCAAATATTATCAAAGGATTTGAAAAGTGTGGAATATGGCCGCTCAATCCTGATGTTTTTACTGATGCAGACTTCGTTGCTGCCACCACAACTGATCAAGCAGTAAGTAACGAAATATTGGTGCCCCATCCATCAATAAATATAGCGCCTGATGAAATTCAAGTTTTTGGTGACCATAAACCGCGACAACTTATACCCAGGGCTCCTGTACTTCCAGCCGATTCTACGACATGTGTACTAGTTGATGAACCATCCAACCTTACTGCTGTGTCACCTTGTACCTTATCGACATGTGCAGCCCACAAGCAAGGAGAGAATAACGAATACCGTGTAGCTGAAGCACCTACTACTATTCTGGCTCCCAACGAAAGTATTTCTAACAGCTTGAGAAGTTCAGCCGCCATTCCATTACCGTGGACATCAGTTGAAGTATCTTCCGTCTACGATAATGTTTCGCCTTCTACCTCATCCATAACTACGAATACACCATCTCTTGCAGCTGCTGCTCAATCGGCGTCTTATGACACTTCGGATAAAGATTCATTTGCATCACCAGTTGCGTCCACATCTTTTAGCATCCCTCCATGCCAGATTCGACCTTTCCCTAAAATGGCAGAAGAACGTAGAAAAAATATCAAAGCTCGAGTATGTACAGCAATCCTTACAAGTTCGCCTTATAAAAATTACTTAGAAGAGGAAGTTAATAAAAAAAATGAAAAAGAACGCAAAAAAATAAACGCAACGAAAATAAAAAGAACTCAATCAAGGGAAATTCTAAATCAAATGAGGAAAAAGGAAAAAGAAAAGCAAAAGAAAATTTGACCGAAAAATACAAACGTCTAAAACCTAAAAGAGGCAAAAGTGAGTCATCTTCAGAGGACGAAAGTGATGCTGAGTGTTTGTTTTGTAATGAGAGGTTTTCCAATAATAATAGAGGTGAAGGATGGATCAAATGTTGTGCTTGCTTAAGATGGGGCCACGAAGCTTGCGCTGGCGTTGATCCCGATGACGCTGACGAGTTCACATGTGATTTTTGTGTCGATGCCGATGATCGTTTCACTTCTGCTCGGAAACAATTAAGACTGTAAAAGTTGATATTATATACATTCTTATGATATGAACATATATCCATGTACATACTAATGTTCTAATGTATATTTCAAGATTCCTTTTCGTTTCTACTGGCCTCTAAATAAAAGTTTCTTTTTATAAATATGTGTTTTATTAATTCATTTTGATACTGAATCTGCAATAAAATTTGTAAAAGTATTATTGATTCTTTTAGTTCTTACATGAATTTTGTATAGTGGGGTAAAATGATCCCCCGGATCATTTTACCCGCATCTCGGGGATCATTTTGGACACAGGGGTGTACAAAATGATCCTTTGGTAGAGCTTCACGGAAAAATTAATAAAAATTATTCCTAATGACTTACGCGATTCAAAGGTTACTAAATTTGTAGTTCGATTGCATAGCTACGCTTTAAATATTTTAACTTTTATCAAAAGCTGGATACAGTCGTTTCTCAGCCGTTTTCCCTTAAGGGGATCATTTTGTACCACCTTCCCCTACGTCTAGCATCGGCAAAATGAGATGATCGATGTGTGTTGTAACTATGAAAGAGTCTGTGGCGGATAGTGCAAAGTGCCTCCTCCCCATCATATCCCACACATGTTCGATGGGATTTAAATCCGGTGAACAGGGTGGCCACGGCAAAGCATTAACGCCTGCTTTTTGAAAAAAGTCCGTAGTAGGACAAGCAATATGGGGGAGCGTTGTCTAGCTGAAAAAGGACATGTGAAAGGCCCCCTAGATACGGCAGCAAAGTGGTTTGTAGGACATCATCAACGCGTAGCAGTCATATTGCCTTGAACTACCACAGGCAATAGCCCTCCAAACCATTATCCAATAGTCCCGTGTACATGCCTCTAAACAGCAAATCCAAAATTACGCCGTTCTCAACGGCGTTGTCTTACGACCATCGTGCGTACCTAGACAGAATCACGATTAATCGCAGAAGAGGACATTATGCCATTCTGCCTTCCAATGTTGCCGTTCTCTACTCCAGTTCAAATGTTGACGGCAGTGGTCCACAGTCAGAGGAAGCACTAACCGTGGATGGTATGAAAAAAGTCCAAAGGCTCGAATGCGGCGATAGAGTGTACGCATAGTAATAGGTCTATCTTCTTCTCCAAACCATTGGTCAGCGAGCCGACGGTATCGTAAGGCTAGTTGTGTGAAGCGCCTATCTTGACTCTCTGTAGTATGCCTCGGTGGACTAGTAGGCCTTCTTTGTGTTCCTCTACCTTTTTCTATCCACACATGACACACACGCATTATCATAATTGCAGTACAATTAACATGGCGGAAAATTTCGCGATAGGACAAACCAATATCTCGATAGGCAATAATTCTATCCCTGTCAAAGTCGCTAACGTGGTGATAATTTGGACGTCTTTGAACTCGAGGCATTTTGTTACGCTTAACACTAGTAAATGAAAGGACAACAACTGAAAATATCTCTTCTACTCAGCTCTCAGAAACTGCTTCATTCACAAAAAACAAGAGATGCCCAACTTTGTCTCCATTTATCGACTTGGTATCTTTTGCTGTTTCCGACGTCCCAATAGTGAGCGTCAGATTTGATTGAACATTTCGTAATTCGCGGGATCCCACACATATGACATTTTGGGTGTCTTTTGTAGTTAGATGTTTTGATATTCCATAGCTTTTATTCTCGATGACTGGGTATAATATTGTGTCTCAGGAGGAGATTTCAACCAGCCACGACACTGGCTTGCAGGATGACACAGCAAAATCTCCCTTTCTATCCCTATAACGTTGGTCCCGTAATCAAAAGTTCCCTATCTATTCACGAACGAAGTATAACATGGCTGTATATACTCGTAGCTGTTCTAATGGGAAACGAGTCCCTATTGTTTTTTTTGAAAAAAAATGTGGCGGACAGACGCTTCACAACAAAAAAGCTAATTTTCGTTAGGGGACCTTTTTCACACTTGTGTGTCGTTCGTGAGCCTTTTTGATTATCTCTAATCTCGTAAGGGCGTTTAAAAAAATGGGAAGTATAGTTTTTACATTAAGGAAATTGGGGGGTGACATCAGTGCCGCACCCAGGTATGTCAGAACATGGCAGACATTTTCTGCCAGCAGACATTCGTCAGAAAATTTCTGATAAAAGAGCTGCAATTAAGGATCCTGATGACATTCGCAGAGCGATGAATCTTGTTCATGAAGTAAGAAATGCTCTTCATGAATTCCGCAATGAGCAATGGAACGACTTTCTGGCGGGGATGCTTGACTCAAGCATTCCTCTCTGGAAGGTGGCGAAGTCGCTCAAAAACGGAAAGCGTGAACAAATCCCACACATTCACGGTCCTGGAGACATTGTCTTCAGGACAGAGGAGAAGGTTGAGGTTTTCGCCGATGCCATGGAAAGACAGTTCTCTCCCAACTATGATCTTGATAATGACCTCGACGAGGAGCAACACATCGTAAGATCTGTCAGGAGATATTTTAGGGCCAACGGCGTCAGTGACAGTAGCGCATTCGTTGGTGATTTTTCTTCATCAGAAGATTCTTCTTCAGAAGCTTCTTCAACCGAATATTTGCTTAGCACATCAGCGGTATCTCCTGAGATCCCGCTTTGCACACCAGCAGAGATTCAAGGTCATATTAAAGACCTTAAAGTGCCTAAAGCACCTGGGGAGGATCAAATCACTAATAAGGCGCTGAAGCTGCTTTCGCGGAAGTCCTTAACTTATCACGTGGCAATATTCAATGCCATGCTAAGGATCCAGTACTTCCCATCCGCGTGGAAGACCGCTGAAGTTATAATGATTCCAAAGAAGGTGGGTTCGATATTTGCCCAGGATTATCGTCCCATTAGCCTGCTGTCAGCTGCGTCTAAGCTCGCTGAAAAGGTGATTCTACATCACCTTGAGAATTTCTCGTCAGATCACCATGTGATTCCTGACGTGCAATTCGGTTTTCGGTCTGAACATAGTACGGAGCTACAGGCGGTTAGGCTGGTGGAACGTGTAACCAGAGGATTCACCCTTAACGAAAGTACTGGCATCTTGCTTTTGGATGTCTCAAAAGCATTTGACAAGGTGTGGCACGCGGGCCTCTTGTATAAACTAATCCAAAAGGGAAGCCCTTTTTGGCTTCTAAAACTACTGAAATCCTTCCTTGAAGGTAGGAAATTTCGGATCAAAATTGACAATGTCCTGTCGACAACACGGCTGATTACAGCCGGCGTCCCTCAGGGTTCGGTCCTTGGTCCTATCCTTTACTCGCTGTACATCCATGACGTCCCTAGTCCCAGCAACTGTGAAGTCTATCTTTATGCTGACGATACTGCATTGGTGGCTCAGTCGTGGTCTGGTGACCTAGTCCATGACAGGCTGCAAAGTGCGGTGGAGGAAGTATTAGATTGGGCGGATCGGTGGCTAATTAAAATAAACCATTCGAAAACGCAGGCAATCTACTGTACAAAAAGACGTCGCGGCGTTCCGTCTGAACTTTCAATGAATGGACTTCGTATGCCATGGGAATCCTCCGCTAGTATCTCGGTGTCATTCTGGACAAGGGATGACTTGGCGGAACCATATGGAAGCGCTAAAAACTAAATGCCAAATTACGTTTCGGCAGCTTTACCCATTATTATGTAAACGGTCAAAATTAAGTTTGATTAACAAGATTCGACTCTATAAGGTGGTCATAAGACCAGCAATGACTTACGCATGTGCGGCTTGGTGTTTTATTGCTAAAACACACATGCGAAATCTGCAGGTTCTGCAAAGCAGGACGTTGCGCACTATTGCTGATGCCCCATGGTATGTCTCTTAACGAAACTCTACATAGAGACCTCGATGTCCCTTACCTAAAGGACTACATTAAGCAACAGGCGCAGCGGCGCTATAGCCTAGCGGAATCGCACAGCAACCCTCTGTTGCGTGAGTCAGTGGACTACACAGTCGAGCAAGTTCGCAAGCACAAAAGGCCACGGCTCGCACTGTAATCAAAATTAACTCGTGAACTTAGAACAACCAAAATTGGAGCATTTTTACACAATCTTTCAAATATTTTTAGACCATATCAAAATCTGTGAAGTGATTTTAACAATGCCTAAACGCTGCCTATCCTAAAAGATTCTCTTCTTCTTTGCTCTCGTTCTTCCTTCTCTCCTTTCCTTCCCCTTTTTTTTCCTTAAAATTGTCTGGTTTCTGGGTTACCAGACCTGACAGACTTACAAACTGACACTGTGACTCAAGAGCTAAGGTCCCACGGACCGCTCTGACAACCAACGGTGACTTGACATGGAAGATTGAGCAAGGAAGCAAGTGTTGCTAGTCATGCATCGCCTGGGCTCCTAGGTGCCAGTATACTGCAAAATGTCCAACATTATAAATTATAGTAGATTATGCAGGTTACACATGTAACATGAGGGGGAGATATTCACCCAAAAAATAATCTGCTCTCCAAAGCTTCGGGAGCCTTCCTCACCCGACTCGATGTGTCAAGTGGTTTTCAGCAAATTGTCTTTCACACCTTGTG